TACGTTAATCATGCTTGTTCATCACAGGCTGCAATTGTGTTTCTGTACTGCTTAATAATTAGATAATAGTATACTCTGGTGCTAAACCCTCAGGTACTCAGGGACTGCCTTGGGGAGAGGGGAATGCTAAACAGGCAGAGTTCTGGATCTCCTTCTTCTGATTGATTCAGGAAAAGTCTGTTTTTATTTGTTTTACCTATTGGACTTTGCTTAGGGTCTCATATAGTCTTAGATGCTATATGCTGTACATACTTTGAGAATAGAGATAAATAGGTTAGTGACCTGTCTATGGAAATTTTGGCAGCCGTGAAAATTCCAGTATACATGAATTGAATGAATACTATATTATCCCTATTGGGGATAATTAGAAAAAGATGGAACTGGAGGTTAAGAATAAAAAAGGAAGGTAATATGGATGGTAGTAGTAATAGAAATTTTTGAAATAAAACTTTGGGAGAAATAAAATGGATAAAGGAAAATAAAGCAGTCTTAGAACTGCAAGTGGAATGTGTGTGAGGAAGACGGAGGGATCTGGGGAAGCAGGAGATGGGACCCAGGACCCTGGAAGGTGGAGACTTGGGGAGGTGGGGCATAGAATTGGAATTGTAAGAGGCAGAAGTAGACATTCCTGAGATGTCATGAAATCAGAAGAGCTTTGAAAACTAGGAAGAAAGATGTAGTCCAACAGGGGAGGAAGAAAATCAAGTAATCACAAAATTGTAAAATTATAACTATTATAACTAAGTATACAGAGGAGAGGTATGTGTTGTGTTGGTACCATGTGGAAGCAATGGCCAAGCTTAGATCTGAAGGAAGTTTTGTACTTGGTGTTAATGTCATTTCTGAGGGTGCCAAGTACCCTACAGCCAGTTCCCTTTAATTCCTACCAAACTACCTAGAGTATCACTCGTTCTGAACCAGTGTATCAGGGAGAGGCATGAAGTGGTAGTGCCCAGCATGACTTCGGCTGATTCTGGAGGCAATACCAGTGTGGTCTTAGGGCCATTTACCTACTTGCTAGTTGGTACAAATCCAGATATTTAACCCAGGGGGCAAACAACAGGGGAGATAAATTCCCTTTTACCGTTTTTTGAGATGGTTTCATGAGTCTGAGTAGGTTTTTCTTAGTTCAGTTCCAGCTGTCCTATCATTTGTGAATCGAGGTGAATTAGTGGTGAGGGAGATCCTGAAGAGTTTTTATGATAGAAAATGAAAATTAGTCATAAGTACTTATTATCACTAAAACAAAACATTGGAATATTCTGGAATCTGTAAGGAACTAATAGATTCACGTTATTATACTTTGTAATACCACAGTATGAAGCAAGTACATATTGAATTAATCAACAGGACAGTATTACATGAAGCTTTGAGAAACCATAAACTTATATTTCAGCACATTTATGATGTTAGATTTCAACTAGAGTTTTGGAAAAGTTTTTTTTTTTTTTTTACATTAAGCATGTGTTTGGTTTCAAGTTGGCACGTGGTCACTAATGTAAAGCTTTTCTTTTATAAAAGAGCTGTGAAGTAACAGGAGGAACTTATAACAAAAACCTTTATCTGAATCCAGTCTTCTCCACTTTAGTGAATGGTAATTCCATTTCTCCAGCTGCTCATCCGATTAGTCAAGGAATCCCTTCGATCCTCTATGGAACTGTATCTGGAGTGCAGTTACTTCTAATCACCTGATCTGTTCTCTAGGTCAAGTCATCATCTCTATCTGGATGACAGGCACTAGCTGATCTTGCTGTCACCCTTGCCCGTCCATAGCCTCTTCTACATTTGGTAGCTAGAGTGATTCTTTAAGAAAAGAAAAGAAGTTGGATCACATCAGTCCTGATCCTAGGTTTCGCATTTTGCTAAATGAAATCTAACCCCCCCCCCCCAAAAAAAACCCCACAAACGTAAAAATCTTATGTGATCTTGGCCCCTGGCTAGCTCTCTCACCTTATTTCCTTTTATCCCACCTCTTGGTTCCTGTGTCCCAGCTACTACAAGCCTCCTTGTTACTCCTGCAACACCCCAGGCATCTTCCCACATGTGGACTTTTGCACTTGCTGTAATTCTCTTTTCCTGTGTGCTGTTTCACTGGATAGCCACATGGTTCACTTTCTCATCTCCCTTAAACCTTTGCTCAAATGTCACCGTGTTAAAGAGGCTTTCCCAGACTACCCTCCATGAAATAGCTCTTACTTCTGTCTCTCACAATCTGTTCCCTTAACCTGATTCACTTTTCTTTAAAGCACATATTATCCGACATGTTAATATATATTTATTTGTTTGTCTTTCTCAGTAGCATGTAAGTTCCATGAGGGAAGGATTTTTTTGTTTTGTTTTCTTGTTGTTGTTCATAGCTGTATCCTTAGCTCCTAGAATGGTGCCTCGCATATTAGGTCCTCAAATATTGAATGAATGAATCTTAAATGCATCTTTTGAAAAGAGTACTTTTAATAAAAAAGATGTCCACTAGATGGCACTGCTTTCAAATTTTATGTAATTAATGTCTGGGAGGAAAACATCTTTTCTTTCGGTGGCTGTAACCAAAAAAGATCTTTGTGGTGAAGATTGTCATAAGAAATTCTACGATTAATGTGAGGCATATAGAATACTACATTTGTATTTGGTTTTTGGTTTATATATTTTTAGATACTTTTTCTAAAATGAAAAACATTTGGAGAAACTTATAGAAAATGACAGCATATTCGTGTATAAATGTCCATTTGATACAGGTATTCAGCATGATAACTGTGGATAAGGTTAATTCAGGTCCACACATTGACCACCCTCCTTCTGAGGTGTCTTTAATGGAATGAGAGAGAGAAATAGTTTCCAGAGCCTTTGACTATCAAGCTGCTTGCTGGTTGAAATCCAGCCTAGTGTTAGATTCAGAAAATTATTATTGTCTGTCAGCTGTTCAGTTGTTGTTGCCAATGACTTAGGTACTCTCAGTCTGGTTCCTAATCGACTGGGTATCCAAATTTTGAAAAACTTCCATGTTTCTGGCAGGTGTCACCTATCCTATTAAAAATCAGCAGGTTCCAAGTGTCAGAGCTTTTTATCTGACTTCTCTGACTAGCACTAAACTCAGCAAATAGTTGCCCTAATCAAGAAATTTACACATTTTCCCCAGACTCTCAAAATTTGCCCGTTCTGCTTTGCCAGTGTCATCTCATTTCTTCTTGCTTTCATCACTTACCTCATTTCCTCCTTTTTTTCTAGTCCCTGTGCCTCCCTCTCTCAAGTACTTTTCCTGAATGGTCATTTGATCCATTCTGTACTCAACTTTTTACACAACTTTCGGTACTATTCCTTACTCCTAAAGTAATTTTTCCTCTTCTTTTTCAAACCAATGATGCCTTATCTTTTCACATTGTTCAAAATATACTTTTTTGTTTGTTTGTTTGTTTGCGGTACGCGGGCCTCTCACTGTTGTGGCCCCTCCCGTTGCGGGGCACAGGCTCTGGACGCGCAGACTCAGCGGCCATGGCTCACTGGCCCAGCTGCTCCACGGCATGTGGGATCTTCCCGGACCGGAGCACGAACCCGTGTCCCCTGCATCGGCAGGCGGACTCTCAAACACTGCGCCACCAGGGAAGCCCCCAAAATATACTTTTTAAGGAATGTTATTAACTAGTTTTATTTTTTTTCTTTCCTGTTTTAGAATTTCTCTTTCATTTCTGAGTATGGCATATGTGAGGAACTTATTTTATCTCTTTAACATTCTCAGCTTCTTCTTGGAGCTCATTAACTATTTAGAAATGAAAACACTATTCTTTTATACTTTTGTGTCGTTAAATGGAACATAAAATATAGGATGGTTTTAGTATATATAGTCCTTCCTCCCAGTCACCCTTGGATGGCTAAGTATGGGGCTGATAAGGTATCATTTTAAATAGGAGACAATTACACTCAAAGATTTACATTTTGTAATTTTAGCCTGAAATATTTGAAATTTCTAATAACGATTATAGTTGCATCTGTTTCAACTTGTCACTCTCTAATACTTGGCCTACCCCATGCATTAGATCTAGCTTTGAGGTTGGAATTCAGTGTTTAGAAAATAATTTTTTGTTTACTAAGGAAATATTGGACACATCCATTTGTTTAGAAAATAGTTTCCTGTTTACCAAAGCACTTATTTTGTATGTATTTAAGTTTTAATTGAGAAAACATATTTTTCTGGTCTGAGACATGGAGATTTACTGATATCTGATTATTAGAATGATAATATTCTATATTCAAATATATTTCATTTCTGAAAATGAAAGCATTTTTCTTATTTACTAAACATATGGTGCTAGTCAAATTTTCATTTATAAAAAAACATATTTTTATGTTGAACCTCAGAGATATTGCTTGCTCAGCATTAGATGAGATTAAGAGCCCTTGCTAGGCGTGTGCTCTGACTGGTAATCTCTTTCAGTGCTTACAAACAAGGGCTTACATTCCATAATTGTATATGAAGCCATCTTGCTTATACCTGCTCTTTTTTTTTTTAATACCTGTTCTATTGATAAGGCTTTTTTTCCAGTGTTACTTATGGCTTATGAGTTTCCTAAGTAAAATTTATGTGGCCTTAAATATTGACTATTTTTATTTATTTATTTATTTTAATTTTTTGGTACAATTTTTAAAGATTACTTTCCATTTAGTTATTACAAAATATTGGCTACATTCCCCATGTTGTACAATATACCCTCGAGCCTATCTTAAACCCAGTAGTTTGAACCTCCCACACTCCCAACCCTATATTGCCCCTCCCCTCCCCTCCCCACTGGTAACCACTAGTTTGTTCTCTGTATCTATGAGTCTGCCTGTTTTTTGTTATATTCACTAGTTTGTTGTATTTTTTTAGATTCCACATATAGGTGATATCATACAGTATTCATCTTTCTCTGTCTGACTCATTTCACTTAGCATAATGCCCTCCATTCATGTTGCTGAAAATGGCAAAAAAATATTGACTGTTTTTGCTTGTGCTGTTTTTTCCTCCACAGACTGGTTGAGATAGCAGAATCTCGTTTTCCCAGATATTTTAACACTGAAGAAAAATTACTTTTGACAAGCAGTAAAGTTCATCTTTATCGGGAACTCAGCTGTGATGAAGTTCTACAAAGGTATGCTGTCTTAGATTTTGGTATTTTAGTAATACTTTGAAGATTTATTTTTTGTTTTTCATGTTTTCAGCTTCTGAGTAAAAAAAAGTCCCTACAAATTAGGATTATGAGAAATAATTATTTCAGTGTTCTTCATTTACTACTATTGGTTGAAGTATTTCTTTAAAAATGAAAAATATTTTAAATGAATAAAATGTTTTAGATTTAACTAATTAAGTGGTATGTTATCTACTGTTCCATTAACAAATTACCCCAAAGTTTAGCAGCTTAAAGCAGTAAACATCTGTTATCTCACATAGTTTTTGAGGGTTAGGTATCTGGGAATGGCTTAGCTGAGTATTTCAGGCTCAGGGTTGCTCAAGAGCTTGCAGTTAAGCTGTTGGCCAGGGTTGTAGTCATCTCAAGGGTCACCTGAGGCTGGAGAATCTTAGAGAATTCCAGGATCATTCATGTAGTTGCTGGAAGGCCTCCCTTCCTTTCTGGAGAGGCCTCTAGTTCTCACTGTGTGGGTCTCTCCATAGGGCTGCTTACAACATGTTGTTGACTGAAAAAAAAAAAAAAAGCACACAACCTAAAAGTTGAGAATTATGTTTTATTCAGAAGACATACTGAGGACTTAAGCCTAGGAGGCAGCCTCTCAGATAGCTCTGAGGGACTGCTCCAAAGAGGTAAGGGAGAAGCCAGGATATAGGAGTTTTTGCAACAAAAACAAGGTAGTTGAAACATCAAAAAATTACTGTTAATTAAAGAAAAAACAAACATTTTGAGTTAATGAATTTAGCACTTTTGTATGTATGGGAAGATGCAAGAGTCTGGGCTATTGAAATCATTCCTTTGATATGCACCTTAACTGTCTAGGGCCAGTATCTTGCTTTTCTCTATTCTGAATTCCCTCAAGGTGCACAGTCAGGGCAGCTGCCGTGGCTGATGGCTTGATGGCCTCAACATCCTTTGTTTACTGATGTGGCAGGTGACATTTTTGGTCCACAATGGTGTCTTGCCTCTGCCAGAGCCAGTGCTCTGAGAGAGAGTGGGCAAGTAAGAAGGAGCCCAAGATGGATGCTGTAGTCCTTCACAACCTATTCTCAGAAATGGTGTACTGTCATTTTGTCATATGCTATTGGTCCACAGGACAACCCTGGTACAATGTGGGAGGGGACTCCACAAGGATGTGAATACCAGGAGGTGGGAGTAAATAGGGACCATTTTGGAGCTGGGCTACGGCAAGCAGTTTTGCTCTAAACTGGAGCTTTAGCAGTATCATAAGAAAACCAAGGGGGCTTCCCTGGTGGTGCAGTGGTTGAGAATCTGCCTGCCAATGCAGGGGACACGGGTTCGAGCCCTGGTTTGGGAAGATCCCACATACCGCAGAGCAACTGGGCCCGTGAGCCACAACTACTGAGCCTGCGTGTCTGGAGCCTGTGCTCCGCAACAAGAGAGGCCGCGACAGTGAGAGGCCCACACACCTCAATGAAGAGTGGCCCCCGCTTGCCACAACTAGAGAAAGCCCTCGCACAGAAACGAAGACCCAACACAGCCAAAATAAATAAATTAATTAATTTTAAAAAAAGTGGATAAGCAGTAAAATCTACATTTGAGCTGATACAAATTGTCAGAAGAGAAATAAATATCGACACGTTTCACATTTGAGGTAGATTAGATAAATGTTTGATTAAAAAGAAAAGGAAACCAAGGAGTGAAGCTAAATGAAAACATTTTGGCCTATTTCCCAAAGTGTGCAATATATATAGAAGAGCTGAAAATAATGTATGTTTATTGACTATCTGCAATAATTACTGCAACTTAGGGAAGAATAATTTGTTGTTTTAAAGGTAGTTAACCTTTCCATGCCCTATTTTTTAAAATTATACCTTAAATTTATCCACTATTTTATAAATTCTGCTTTTACAGGATTGAATCCTTGGAAGAAGAAATTATTTCAAAAGGAGTTAAACTTGTGATTATCGACTCTGTTGCTTCTGTGGTAAGAAAGGAGTTTGATACACAACTTCAGGGCAACATGAGAGAAAGGAACAAGTTCTTGGCGAGAGAAGCAGCCTCTTTGAAGTATTTGGCTGAGGAATTTTCAATCCCAGTAAGTTTTTCTTTTTCTCTTTTTTTCCTCTTTCTTTTTTTCCTTTCTTTTATATTTTCACTAACTTATAGCATCAAATAATAAAATTAAAAGGAAATTAAAACATGACTTTCTAATGGTAGCACAGTCTAATTGCTATAGCAAATACCACCATCTTCTAAAATTTGTTCATCTCTTGAGATTAGTTCGTCCTTTTCACAATTTGAGCCTAAGAAGATTTAAATATTGTTTTCCAAAGTTCCTATAGTCAGTACTTTTCTTCCCTCTCATTGTTTAGTCTTTGTGCATGTTTTTATATTACTTTTATCACACTGAGATAAGTAATAAGTATTAAAACTCCATGAAATTGCCTGTGTCTGTTTCTATACAGCTTTTTTTTTTTATGGCAGAAGTTTTATATGGCAGAAGTCAGTTTTATAAGTATTTAAGGTTTAGATATTGTTATTGTGTTCAGTGCTGTTTTGTACACCATAGGATTTGGTTTGCTTCAAAAGCCAGAGGTTGATTTTTTAGGGTGTTTGGAGTGATAGTCATGAAAGCGTAAGTAAGGAAAACTTGAAAAATTACTCTTGGTGTGACTTTCGGTAGTGGGAATTGTGATCAGGAAATCTGAAGATGAGGTGTATTTCAAGGGTTTGTGCTGGGTAAGCTATGAGTACTAAGTTATATTCCCGTTAGCAGTGTGTGGGAGAGTGCAGCTTGCTCTGAAGTCTCACCAACATTTAGCATTGTCAGGCTTTTCAATTTTAGCCATGCATCATCTCAACAGAAGATAGGAAAATTCCTTAAACTGAGATAAAATTTAGTGATGATTTTATAATTTTTAGATTTGTTTGGAAAATTAAAACCTTGGATCTTTGTAACATAGAGAATATGTACTGTTAGTGGAAACTACCACATAGCCTTTGAGGTTGATAAACCTAAGCAAGAATCGAGGGGGAAAACGTGGCATTCAAAAAGTTCTACATGTTTTAATGGCTTTTAAATTCATATTTTGGATTATATGGTATAATTCCTGGTGAATCGAGTGCTGTAAAGCTTATCTTGGATGATGCTTATCTTTTAAATTTTATTATAGTTGCTTAAAAGGACAAATTCAAATCCATATTTTCCCTGGTCAAGGAGAATAAGGAAATTTAAAAATATTTTATAGAGTTACTTGATTGAATGGAAAAGTTAAGTATATATGTTTATTTTATTCATATTGTTGTCTGACTTAATCTTGTGTAAAATATGAAAATTCACTTTTTAAAAGTTATATTTGTTTGTTTTTATTTATTTAAAATATTTATTTATTTGGTTGCGCCAGGTCTTAGTTGTGGCAGGCAGGCTCCTTAGTTGTGGCATGCGAAATCTTAGTTGCGGCACGCATGTGGGATCTAGCCCTGACCTGGGCCTCCTGCATTGGGAGCGCGGAGTCTTATCCACTGGGCCACGAGGGAAGTCCCTGTCTGCTTTTAAATTGTAATTGTAGGCTAATGTATTTCAGTTTTTTCTGAGGTGATTATTTATTTTCCTGAGTGAGAAAGGGGCTCTGCTTTTCTTTGTTTTTAATAGAGCCCTCTGAAAGAATAGGTACTTAGTATCCTCATATCCTTCTGTCTTTGCCTTTGTTTTTCTGTTCAGAGGTAAATGCAGAATATAACATGTACTTATGTAACACAGTATGGTATTGGTTTTTCTGACAGATCAGTATTGGTTTTAGAAGGCTTTTGAAAAATACTTCCTTTAGGAAATCTCAGAATTTTCCTAGCCTAATTACCTCACTTAAATGGAAAATCATAAACTTTTAAGCTTTTATGCTATACTTTGAAAAGGTGGCTTCATATGGAAGTAAATGCCTTAAAAGGTGTGTTGTTTTCTGGTTCATTATACCTTTCAAATTAGCAAACCTTATGCTTCCTGGTACTTAAACGTGCCAACAAACATTCCTGCCCCAAGAAGTGTTTGCTGTTCCTCAGCCTGGAATATCCATTATCCATATTGTCTCCTGTTATTAGTGAGGGCTTCCCTGACCATATAAGTATTAACCACACTCCCTGCCTCTCCATGTCTCTTATTATGCTTTATGTTCCTCCATCATAGTTTTCACCCTCTAGCATTATATATTTATGTTTATTGTTTGTGTGACCTCACCACCCCATAGTACGGTTAAAGGGATTCTGTCTACTTTGTTCATGGCTTTATTCTCAGTACCAGGAATAGTGCCTAACACATAGTAGGCACTCAGTAAATGTTTTTGAATATATGAGTTTAGATACTGCTTTTCTTCTTAGACTTGATTTAATCTTATGTATGTTTATACTGAACTTAAATTTTATCATTTGCTTTTATCTTTACTTTGATCCTATCTTTAATATTGTTTACTATTTATAATAGTAATAAAATATAACTTTAGATGGCAGAATCTTATCATATGGGAGCTGGACTCAGTTCACACTGGTGTCTTATAGGAAGAAAAAGAATTCTTAAGATTCTTAAACTTGGAAAAGGCTTTAGAGATCTAGATAGTATCACAGAACCAGGAATCAGAAGAGATTTATCTCAGTTTAGTAAAACTGTGGTAAGTGAATGTCTGATGGCCTCTGAAGATTGGGTAGAAAGCTAAGCATTCCAGCCTGTTCTTTGGCTGTGGATCTGAGATGGTGGACAGGGCCAGGATGCCTGGCATTTTGATACACTCTAGATATCTTCATTCAAATGAGAGTAAAGAGTAAAACCAACTTGGCTGTGGGTTGAGTACTTCATTGAATTTAAATATTTCTCTACAGTGAACTTTCAGTGCTTTTAAAATGTGGGGAAAAAGCTTAAAATATAATTTGTATTTAATTTCGATTGTCACATTGTGTATATATTTGTGTATGGTATGTACAGTTGTCCCTCAGTATCTGCAGAGGCTTGCTTCCAGGACCCCTGCAGATACCAAAATCTGCAGATGTTCAAGTCCCTTATATAAAATGGTTGTCCTCCTTATCCGTGGGTTTTGTGTCCAGGGTTTTGCATCAAAAATTCTCCAAGGAAACACAGCATTGTAAAGCAACTATACTCCAATAAAAATTAATAAAAAATAAAAAACTAAAATGTATCATAGATTAGAAAAAAAAATTCTCCAAGTGAGAATTTTTGATCCATGGTTGGTTGAATCCACAGATATGGAACCCATGGATATGGAAGATGATTATATGTGTGTTTGTATGCAAGCATGCCTGCATGTGTGGAGATTTCAACATCCTTTCTCAGTAATTGATAGAATTAATGGGCAGAAAGTCAGAAGACTTGGATAACATAAACAGTCAACTTGATCTAATCGGTGTTTACAAAACATCCATTCAAGTGCCTGCAGAATACATATTCCTTTCTGGTACACATGAGATATTCACCAATATAGACCATATTTGGGGACATACAATAAATCTCAACATATTTAAAAGATTGAAATCATACAAATTGTGTTTTTTGACCCCAAGAGAACTAAACTAGAAATTGATAACAGAAACATGTCTGGAAAATCCACAGACATTTGGAAATTAAACAAAAATACTTCTAAATAACCCATGAGTCAGAGAATAAATCACAAGAGAACTTAGAAAATATTTTGAAGTAAATAAAAATGAAAATACAACATGTCAAAATTTGTGGATTGCAGCTAAATCAGTGCTTAGAGGGAAGTTTATTTAATTAAATGCTTATACTGGAAAAGAAGAAAGTTTTCAAATCAGTGATCTAGCTTGTAAAAAATACAAGAACAAATTAAACCCAAAATAAGCAGAAGGAAGGAAAAAATAAAGATAAAAGCATGAATCCATGAAATTAAAAATAGGAAACAATAGAGAAAAGAATCAATGAAATAGAAAGCTAGTTCTTTGAAAAGATTAATAAAATTGATAAAACTGTCACCAGACTGACCAAGAGAAAAACAAATTAGCAGTATCAAGAATGAAAGAGGGGATATCACTGAAGGTCCTACAAATACTAAATGAATAATAAGGGAATGTTATGAGCAACTTCATTTCAGTAAGTTTGATAACTTAGATGAAGTGGACAGATTCTTTGAAATACACAAACTATCAAAGCTTACTGAGGAAGAAAGAGATAACCTGGATAGTCCTATATCTGTTAAAGGAGTTGAATTTGTAATTAAAAATCTCACAAAGAAAATGCTAGGTCCAAAGTCTTTACTGGTAAAATCTATCAAACATTTAAGGAAGAAATAGTATCAATTCTATACAAACCTTCCAGAAAATTTTTAAGAAAACTACAGAGTGCTGTTCTTCATGAACATAAATACACAAATCCTTAAAATATGTTAACAAATTAAATTCAGCAATAAATAAAAAGGATAACTACATCATGACCAAGTACAGCTTATTTCAGGAATGTTTCATTGATTTTGAATGCAACATTAAAATATAAAATTTACTACAGCAACACATTAAAAAAAAGGATCATCTCAGTAGATGTAGGAAGGAAAAACAGTTGACAAAATTCATTAGCTATTCGTGATGAAAACTCTGAGCAAACCAGTAGTAGAAGGGAACTTTCTCAACCTGATAAAGGGCATCTACTAAAAAACTACAGCTAACATCATACTTAATGGTGATATATTGAATTCTTTCTTCCTAAGATTGGGAATAAGGCAAAGATGACCCATTCTTGCCATTTCTAATCAACAGTGTATTGTAGACTCTAGCCAGTGTGATATGGCAAGAAAAAGAATTCAAGTATACCTGTATTTAAATTAGAAAAGAAGAAATAAGACTATCTTTATTCATAGACAATATGATATGTTTGGTAGAAAATCCCAAAGATTTTACCCAAAAAGCTACTAGATTTAACAAGTGATTTTAGCAAGATTACAGGATACGAGAATTGATATATAGAAATTAATTGTTTCTCTATATGCTAGTGGTGAACAATTAGAAACTGAAATTGAAAACCTGTACCATTAATAAGAATACCAAAACCATGAAATCTTGGTGATAAATGAAACAAAATATATG